CTTCAGGAATATTTAAAATAAAGAATAAACTAAGAGAATCAAAAGTAGTAAGATTAGTAATAATAGTTTTTTCTTAAGAGATACGTACTTTTTTATGTTTATCTTTTTATATGCTTAGTATAGTATATTTAAGAAAATATGTTTGGCAAGAGTGCTATATATCCAATTCTGTTTTAAATGTATTATGGGATTTTTAGTTTGTGTGCGTGTGCGTGTGTGTGTGTGTGTGTGCGTGCGTGTGTGCGTGTGTGTGCGTGTGTGTGTGTGTGTGCGCGTGTGTGTGCGCGCGTGCGCGCTCACGTGTGCGCTGCCTGCTGATCCTGGGCTTTGAACTCAAGGCCTGAGCATTGTCCCTGAGCTTTCCCACTCAGGGCTACTGTTCTACCACTTGAGCACTTTCGTTGTTTAAATGAAGATAAGAGTTTCATGCACTTTCTTGCTCAGGCTGGCTTCAGAACTGTGATCCTCAGATCTCAGCCTCCTGTACTTAGATTACAGGCAGGAGTCTCTGGCACTCAGCAATGGGCGGGCTGGCTTTCTTTCTTTCTTTCTTCCTTCCTTCCTTCCTTCCTTCTTTCTTTTCTTTTCTTCTTCTTCTTTTTTTAAATGCTGGCACATACATGTAATCTCAGGACTCAGGAGGTTGAGACAGGGAAATCATGAGTTTGAGGCCAGTCTGGGCTATAGCAGTGTTCTGTGGATTTTTTTTAGAAAGAAAAGAAAAACAAAGCTAAATACTTTCTTGAAACATTTAGGAGGAATTTAATATTACCTCATTATTTATACATTTACTACAATGTTTATAAACAGATGAATACATAATTTTTTATTAAGTAGTTGTTCACAGGGGTTACAATGCCATTAAATTATTCTGTATGAAATAAGAAAGCAGAAAAATGAAGAAGGGAGTACAGTATATTAAATCTATGATGTGGGAAAAAATTCTGGTAGCATTTTTGAAGTAGGTTTGGAAATGAGTTCATTTCACATTATTCAGAATTCTAAGTGACTGCTAAACACTGTTAGTGTTGTAACCAAATCCAAAATATTTAGTTTTCATATTTTTAACATAGTAAGTTGAATATCCTAATGAAAGTCATCCCATAAAGGATATTTTCTGCACAAAATTCACCCTTGAGAGTTATGATACTTGTTGAAAGAATTTGCAAGAAACATTTAGAACAGTATCCTGGTTACATTTGTTTGTAATCTTCTGATACCAAACAACTAAAAATTTCCAAACTGCTCTTTAGAACTAGAACTTACCACAATGATTGAATTCAGTGAAGTCACCTGAGATCTGAAGCGGGCACCACTGTCTTTCAGTGGGAATGGTGGGTCTGGTCAGAAAATGCCCTTGGTTAGTTGAATATTCATGCTTTGGGGGAAATCTTGACTTACAGGTGTGAGCCACTGGCACCTGGCTTTGGCATATCATTTCTTACCTTATACCATATGGAGAATTAATTTGAAATAGATCAGTACCTAAACTATGGGAAGTAGTAAAATAAAGCTGTTAGAAAATATGAAAAGAAATCATCATGTTATATTTTGACTACATAAGTTCATATCATCAGGTAGTGCCTTCTTAGTCTTGGAATCATGCTGTTTCTATCCCTTGAGCTTAACTATGGTCTTGAGATTTAACTGTTGTTATTGCATATTTCTGTAATTAATGTTGTGTTTTGTATTCCATTATATGAATATGTTGTAATTTACATATCTGCTCCAGAGAATGCATATTTGGATTGTTTTCAGATACTTATTATAAGTAATATTGATAATGATATTTACATTGATATTTAACATAGCCTGGAAAGAAGAAATATTGGATTTCGGAGGAAATTAACTTTATGCATCTTTTAGAGTAAGACATATTTCTTCCATTCCCACAGGGAAATCTCAAATAGGAAGATTAAGAACAGAGTAGGCATTACTTATTCTTGTCTTTTGTGTATGTGTGCCAGTGGGTGCTGTCCCTTAGCTTTTTTGCTCAAGGCTAGTACTCTACCACTTTAGCCACAACTCCACTTCCAACTTTTTTGGTGCTTAATTGGAGATAAAAGTCTCAGAGAATTTTCTGCCTGGGCTGGCTTCATTTGATCCTTGATCCACAGATCTCAGCCTCCTGAGTAGCTAGGATTACAGAATTATAGGTATGAGCCACTGGTGCCTAGCTTTGTGTGTGTGTGTGTGTGTGTGTGTGTGTGTGTATACACACATGTGTGGGTACTCATGCATGCATGCACACAAGGGCAACTATTGAGGCTTGCAATCGTGTTGCATTTTTGCTTAGATTTTTCCCTCAGGCTGTTATTCCACTTCCAGCTTTTTGCTGATGAATTGAAGATAAAAGTCTTTTGGCTTTATCTTCCTGGGTTGGCTTCAAACCATGATCCTCGGATCTCAGCCTCCTGAGTAGCCAGGATTATAGGCGTGAGCCACCAGTGCCCAGAACTGATTCTTGTAGTTACCTGAAGATCTGACCATATGTATTCTCTTTATTTGAAATGCTCTAAGTTCAAATAGTGTCAGTCAGTTTAACCATTAGGGCAAAAGTAAGTGATACTATGAAACTCACTAAAGTCTTTTTAAAGGGAGGCTAGCTTTTTAAAAGAGAGTTTTATTGTTTGTACATCCTGGAAGCTGTCACTTAGTCTTTGAAGTGAAGCCTGACATTGTGCAGTGATGCACTAATGGACAAAGACGTACAGACAGAATCAAGGATGTCCTTTGAGAAGTTGGCAGGGTGTGTTACAAATGTAATATCAGACCGCAGTGAGATGGAACCAAAGACTTAGAAAGCACAGGCACACTTCCTGTGAGACATGTAACTTGCCGCAAATGGCACATCTGGCTTGTTGAGCAGTCCCATTCAGACCTTTGATGAGCCTGTCCGAATACTGAGTGACAGGACACGGTCATCTGAAAGTATTTGGAAGGCAGCCTATGTACCAGCTTGGAAATAATTCTGCAATACAGCTTTACTGAGCTGGACATGTGTACAAATGGACTACAATAAGGCTCCTAATTCACTGTTGAATAGCAAGCTGAGGCAGAGAAATACACGCTGAGAAAGCAGAAGGACTATCTTAGGATTCCCAGCAATTCACCTCCAAGCAGTCAGGCCAAATGGGCAAGCTCAGTTGCTGCAGAGCAGCCTGGCATGCAGCTGTATGCACTGGCCTTGCTGTTTGTGAGCAAAGGCATGAGGCTGGTTGACTGTGGGGTCTAAAAAGCTAAGTTACAGTGACAGGCTATTAAATAGCAGGCACAGCTGCTACTGGAAAGGCAAACTTGACGTGTCCTGGGTGGAAGAGATTATGGGTCTTCTATTGTCTTTAACTATACCAGTGAATCCAATTTAGAAAAGAGATTTATGCATACACAATAGAAATAAATAGGAGTAAAGCTGTATTCTATGACTTTCCACTCTTAATGAAAATTGAATCATTGGTTGTATTTAAATAATAAAAGACTTAAGTTTCCACATCCCCTACTGAGGATTTACCCAATGCCTTGAAAATGCTAGGCAAGCACTCTACCTCAGAGCTGTATCCCCAACGTTGAAATACTAGAAGTACAGCAATTTATCATGATTAGTTTTTATTCTTTACCAGTCTTTTCGCATTTTTATTTGGACAGAATATGTAAAAGACTAGGAATGCCCTTGAATGAATATTGTGATATTGACCTTATAGCCATTATGCTCTCTGCTGTTATTCTCTAGTTTCTTTCCAATGGAATTCTCTTTCATAATCACTTATCTTTGTCTCTTCCTGGGGCCAACATAGTAGAGGCTATATACTCCCTAATGTTTAATAAATGTTTAACTGGACCGAATAGCAAGGTTTAAGGTGGCAGTGTATGGGAATGTAATAGATAAGGTACAGTTTTCACCAGCTATTCTTATCCATAGATGTTTCAGGTAGTAGTCCAGCAATCTGAATGGACTGAATTATACTTGTAACATGTTGACACTTTTCTTTTTGTCCTGAGCTTGCAACCTTCATGACTTTCCATCCAATTTCCTATCTTGGCTTCAATTCATTGAATATGTACTCTGTCACCTTTTATAATACCAAGAAGAAAATTCTGATGAGTTCCGTGAATGAAAAAGCTTGAGTCTGGAAAAGGAACTGTAGATATAGGATAAAGATGAAAGCTTTATACATACATAGACCTAAAGTGCTACAAACACAAGACAGCCATGACAGCCAAGGAGAAAGAGAAGAGACCGTTAAGGAATGACAATTAGTCAAAAAGTGACACCTAGAGAAACAACTAAATGCTCAGTAGAGAAACCTTAGCATTTCACTATTTGAAAGAGATACGTTTCATATTAAATGAACCAAATATGCCACCTGCTATGCATTTTCTTTTATACATTTGTCAACAGTTCTAATCATATTTGAAGGACTGTGTAATTTTAATGATCTTGTGATTTTTGGGACCCTAAAAGCATGAATAATGTATTTGCACATAAAGTACTTTGCTTGTAAGATTTTATTGTTAAACCTTATTATTTGTAATTTGTTGAATGAAATATTTTTCCAGTATAAGCAGAGAAAATAATCTTGGTGGTTAAAAAAATTAGTAAACTATGCAGATAACTGTACTTTTATTTCCTCTCCTTTAAAATAGCTTTTCATACTTTAAAAAAACTTACCTATTCTTAATTTAGGACAGGAATGAAGTTACTGATTTTCCATTACTTTATTAATAGTAGTAGATGGAGGTAGTCTGTGTTGCCCTCTATTGGTGACTAATGGTTAGTTTTAGCAAAATAATTGGGGCCATTTGTATCATTTCTATGTATTTCATAATTGTATCAACCAGTACACTTTAGAGAAAAAAATATAGAAACCAATCTGATAGTTGTGGTCAGATTTAGCAAAGGCAATAATAGGAGATTGCACCTTGTGAATTAATCTTGACTAAGGTAATATCAAAATATTGTTGTCTCTGATTAATTTTTATTTTGTTTTTGTTTTTGTCAGAGCACCACCTCAAATCAGGCGTCCTAATCGAGAAGTAAGACCTTTGAGGAAAGAAATGGCAGGAGTAGGAGCCCGGGGGCCTGTAGGCCGAGCACATCCTATATCCAAGAGTGACAAACCTACGAGTAGAGACAAGGATTATAGACCAAGAGGGAGAGATGACAAGGCAAGACTATCTCTTTGTGATTTGCTCACTTGAAGCTTGTGACTTTGGTGGATATTATGTTTTTTGTTTATTAATTTTCAGGGTACCCTGGCTTTGATGTGGAATAATTAAAACCTAAGTGGTTTTTAAAACTTTAGTAGCCTTTATATTTGAAGGCCATGATATCATGCCAGTAACCCAGAGGTAGAATATATATATGTATATGTGTGTGTGTGTGTGTGTGTGTGTGTATGTATACTCATACAGGTGTAAGCAGCATACAAAATACTGTTGGAGTTTGAAAGATTTTCCAAAAATATTTTAACAAGTATTCTAAATTTAAATGAACAATAAATGAAACATAACTGTAGGAAAGAATCTTATAAGAAGCAAATTGGGCATGGGTAGTTTATGCTTATAATCCTAGCCACTTGGGAACTGGAGGCTTGAGGGGGTTGCTTATTTAAGGTTAGCCTAGGGAAAGTGTTTTTTGTTGTTTTTTTAATCTTTTTTGTCGACTGTGGACCTGAACTATCAGCCTGGGTACTGTCCCTCAGCTCTTCAGCTCGAGGCTACCACTTGAGCCACAGGGCCACTTCTGGCTTTTTCTGCTTATGTAGTACTAAGGAATCAAACCCCGGGCCTCATACATGGACGTTAAGTACTCTACCACTGAGCCACCTTTCCTGCCCAGCCTAGGGAAAGTTTTGAGACCCTTATCTCAGAAGCAAAATAAAAGCCAAGGGGCTGACAAGGCACTTGTCTAGTATTCCTGAGACCCTAGGTTCTATACCAACTAATACATACATACAGAGAGAGAGAGAGAGAAAGAGATTTTCACAGAATAAGATGGATAGTATTTACAATTGCTCAAATTTTAATAAAGGTTTGATTTATGTGAAATTATTTAGAACAAGATTTTTCCTTTTTTATCTGACAATAAATGTATTGTACTTTCACACTTAAAAAATCTGCTTGTATACAATGTAATCAGAAAAATGACTGTAGTCATAGCTAGACAATGAATATCTTTATCATTGCATCCTCTTGTCTATTACTCAGGACTTACAAAATAACTATTATACATTTAAAAGATTTTTAGTACAATATATGATAATGACTGAGCATGCACCGTAATCCAGGCTTTAAACTAAGCACATTTTGTGAATTCTCTCTTTTGGTCCCTGTTGTACGTCTGTGAGGAAGACTATAATACAAAGCTGATGTTATCAGGTCATATTTTATGAACTTGAAACCAAGATTTTTTTTAATGAGAAAACTTCCTTTTCATTGTGCATATTTACTTATCTGGAAAATTAGTTGGCAAATATAGTCAGTAAAATTGGCTTTAGAACTAGAGATTTTGTTTTTCTTTTTAGTTTATTTATGCTGTACTGGGGATTGAATTCAAGGTCTTGAGTTTGTTTTACTGTGTAAGCCATACCTTTAGTTCCAAACAGTGGGAAATGATCTTATAAAGAGCTAGCCAGAATGATAGAAATTTTTAGGAATAGAATTTCTCATGCATTGTGATGTCATAAATGAACAATAGGTGATGAATTGCCACAAAAGTTTCACTAGTTAGATATTAAGGATCTGCCCTCAAATTCATGACGTATGTATAATGAACATAGAAATGATAACCAGTGGTTATCCTTAAAAATTATATACTATATTTGATTTTGTACTTTGATCTGAAGCTAAGGACTCGAGGTAGACCAACTCCTGGGCCTTATGAATGTGGAACCTATAATAGAATAAAATAGAATAAAACTGGTGCTTTATGAACATTTCTATTATGAGAAAGATTCAAAGATATATTTAACCTCTATGCCTTTTTTTTGTGGTCATGGGGCTTGAACTCTGGGCCTGGGAGCTGTCCGTCAGCTCAAGGCAAGTGTTCTATCACTTGAGCCACAGTGCCACTTCTGGTTTTCTGAGTGTTTTATTGGAGAGAAGAATCTCAGGGACTTTCCTGCTCTGGCTGGCTTTGAAATGTGATCCTGAGATCTAAGCCTCCTGAGTAGCTAGGATTTACAGGTATGAGCCACTGGTGCCCTGCCAACCTCTATGCCTTTATGGGACACCAAAAATGATTTTTTAATGTTTAAAATGTATTGGAGCTTGTATGCTATAAAATGATAAACAGTCCACATCAAATCCTTTTGGGGATTAGTGAGGGCTTCTAATGAAAGTCTTGGTTTGTCTGGCTAGGGAAATTAAGCTGGTTCTCCCATTATCAGAATCCTCATAGATGAATACTTGGCCATCTGTATTTTAAGTATCATTTTGGTTTCTTCCTCCATTTTTGTACAGCTTTTTTTTTTTTTTTGTATTTTAGAGAATTACAGTAGGGGCCAAGATCTATTCCTTATTCTGCCATTATATTTGAGGTACACTTTTAGAACAGGCTGAGTTTTCACCAGTCTTTAATTTCATATAACACAAGAGAAGCATTGTAGCCATAATTTATTATATGCTTTTTTTGTAGGCACCATTCAGAGTGATTACATAAGAATTTATGAAAAATCAATCTTACTCCCCTTTGTACAGATGAAGAAACTGTAGTATAGAGAGCTAGAGTAACTTGCCATTACACAATAAGCAATAGACCTTGAGGAAACAGAAATTGTAAAGTCACATACCTTTTTCCTTCACCTCAAGAGTTTTCATAGTGTGCTTTATCCCTACCAAGCTATACTGAAAATCTGAGTTGGATTTGTAAAAAGAACTTCCTAACAGTTAAATTACTGATCTTTAATTGTGTCTTGGAATCTAAGAACAAAACAATCAAGCAGCATTTGTTAAATGTCAGGTATATCTTTCTGGAGACTATAAATGGTTTTTAATTCATAATGTTTCCAAATAATTTTCTAAGTCTTAGTTATTCTTTCATTGACAAGTTCTCAGAATGTCATTAGAAAATAAGCCTCATTCTTTTCTTTTCAAAAGAACTCTCCAGTTGTTTGGAGATAAAAGAGATTTTTAGAGTCATTGTGGAAAGAAAAGAGCCTCAATTAAAAAAATAAACTCATAGAAACCTCATTAGAATTTGAAAGGTGTACTCAGCTCAGTTCTGACTATTACAACTATTCAAATATTCATCAGAAGACTAGATACTTGAAAACTAAACTGAAGACTGATAGGGTTTGAGACAGCTTAGGTAAACTGATAACACCTACTTTCATTGAAGCCAGATTTGAAAGTGAATATTGGAATACCTCTTAAGCAAGATTGTTCTCCTTTTTAATCCCCCTTAATCAGATGTTTGCTGCAGCCAGCTTACAGACAACAATAACAACAAAATAATAGAACAGACCAAAAAAATCAGTTTGTTGTCCATAGTAAAGACAGTATTCTCTTGAGAAAATAGGTAAATGCATAAAAATTTAGTTATAAAAGCATATGTTTATGTAGACTCTTCATGCTCTAAAATACCTCCCTTTATGTTACGGAATTTTGAAGGCTGCTGCTATATTCCAACCACTTACTTACATTTATAAATGTAAAAAAGTGAGGCTAAGAAAATCTATGTATTTTCTTCAAGGTCTCTAGTGTATTTATTTGGCATTTTAGTTTAGTGTTAGGAATGGTATGCTGTAACAACTATTACTAAGCGTTACAGCAAATGTTGCTCTTCTTTGGGTGCTCTTATTTTTTTTTGAGGTTATCTACAAGATTCTTTTTGATGCTTTCTACGTGTATTGGTTTGCTTGCTACACTTCTGTGACCCCAGCATTATGTTTCCTGTTTTATGGAGAAAGATGTTGAGGCACCAAAGTGGAACTAGGAATTGAACCTGTTCAACTGCATTGCTGGAGCTTTTAATCATTTTGCCACACTTAGGCTTCCTATCTTGCTTTACTGTATCATGAGTACTTTCTTATAAGGGTTACAGTTCATTTTCTGGGAGATTACAACTTTTTTCTTCTTTTTAAACTGCTGACAGGTTTCAGGTTAGGTCCAAGTTTACAATACTGTTTTAAAAATAAATAACCATTCGTTTTCATACTGAGGCCTTGTTCCTTTCCTTCTTTCTTGACACTGCCACCAAGATCCATAGCTTCATCTGTAACACTAGCTTATACTTTATTAAACATATCTTTACTAAGTATGTATACTTTGTGAATAAAATGTGCCTGCCTGTAACACCAACACCTAGGAGGCCAAGGCAGGAAGATTGTGAATTTGAAATTAGCTTGGGATAAGTAGTAAGCCACTTGCCTCAAAAAGCAAACAAACAAACAACAACAACAAAAAACACCAAAAAGCTGGCTTCAAGTTGGTTATCTCTCATTATTGTATGGGAGTGAGAAGAATAAATAAAACTCTACTTTTCAGTCTTACTTGAATGGACCTGATATGTTAGTCTGTTTGGGCTGCTATAACAAAGGACTGAGTAATTTATGAGTGATGGAAAGTTGTAGTTTTCAGCACTTGTGGCTTAAGTGGTAGCTTTGAGCAAAAAGAAATTCATGGACAGCATTGGCAAAAAAACCCAAAAAACAATCAATCAAAAAACATTATTCTGCAACCTAATAAGTTAATTTTAGTCTATCCTTTCAGAGTAAAAAATGCACTTGTTATTTCTGTGCACAAAACTGATTCTCAGCTATTGTCAAGATGACATTTTTAAAGGTTAATGCGTAACAGCACTGCTCTCTCTTATCTCATGATTAGAGCTGTATATGCTTTTAAGCAGAATTCAGATTAAAATTGGGTAAATTATAGTCATTGGATTTAAGCTATTAAATTTGAAGGACTTTGTTTCACTGAATTATATGGAACAGATAACCATTCATGAATATTTTCCTTCTCATATATAAGCCCAGGGATATGTTTTACAGAGAGATGTTGCAAACTATATTGGAGTATTTTCTGTAATTAAAAAAAAACTACTGAGGGCTGGGAAGGTGGCTCAGTGGTAGAGCGCTTGCCTTGCATGCCTGAGGCCCTGGGTTCGATTCCTCAGCACCACATAAGCAAAAAGAAAAACAGAAGTGGCACTGTGGCTCAAGTGGTAGAGCACTAGCCTTGAGCTGAAGAGCTGAGGGACAGTGCCCAGGCCCAGAGTTCAGGTCCCACGATTGGACCCCCCAAAAAAAAATTACTGAAAAAGATGCATACATTGTACTGTTTGATGAATTATGATTATCTTCTGTTGTATGTTTAAGAATGACTTCCAGAAAAAATGTGTATTTACACACAAGATTTATCAGTCTGACCCTATAAAAGACACATATTGTACCTAATTTGTAAATAATACCTAGTGCTCTTTACTGTAAATTTTTAGAGACAACAGAATTCCTCAAGAAGGCAGGAAAGTCTGAGTTAAATTTTTTGCCCTTGTATTTACTAGTGAACTTATGTACTCTTATATATTACTTAGTCTTTGTTAGTGTGGGTGTTTTCTGTTTTTGGTTGTTTTTTTTGTTTTTTGTTTTGTGGTTTTTCTGTTTTGGGGGCTTGAACTCAGGGCCAGGGTGGGCATTGTCCATGAACTTCTTCGTGCTCCGGGCTAGTGTTCTACCACTTAAGTCACAGTGCCACTTCTGCCTTTTTCTGAGTAGCTTATTGGAGATAAGAGTCTTACGGACTTTTCTGCCTGAGCTGACTTGGAAGTATGATCCTTAGATCTCAGCTTCCTATCTAGGATACATTGCCCAGCTGTGTTTTTTTTATAGAAAGAGAATATCTGCTTTGTAGGGCTGTTTTATTGAGATAATAATATATGTAAGATTTTCTGTCACATGGCAGATTCCCAGTAAGCTAATTTTCTTTCTTCTTGTATGTTAGTACTTTGATTATTCTCTAACAATGCAGGAAATCCTCAGCATCCACCAATCTGTTGGGATCCAGCAGGATCATTTTAATCTTACCTGCAATCCCCTTTTCATATTACAGCAATATTGATTTGAAGATGTTTACAATAAATTTGACAAGTTCATCTATTTCTCATTAATCAGACATACCATTGTACATTGTAAGCAAATATTTTTAAAGTGATTACGTGTGGCTGTAGCTCAGTGGCAGAGCACTTGCTAGTATGTACCAGGCCCAGAGTTCTATCCCTAGCAACACATGTGTGCATGGGTATATGTACAGAGAGGGGTGAGGGATAGAGAATTACATAATACTAGTTTGAAAACTTGATATTAAATAAAATTACTTTGTTATTGACTGGAACTCTTTTTAAATACATATACCCAGGGAAGGAAAAATATGCAAGATGGTGCAAGTGATGGAGAAATTCCAAAATATGATGGTGCTGGATATGATAAGGATCTTGTGGAAGCCCTGGAGAGAGACATTGTGTCCAGGAATCCTAGCATTCACTGGTTAGTCTATGAAGTTCTTGAGTTGAAGTAGTGGAGACATCAGGCGATAGCTTGGCTCAGTGGGAGACTTCTCTGGTTATTTGTTGATCTCCTGATTATGCCTTTATCTGTAAAGTGAATGTATAGAATTGATACAAAGGTCCTGGTAATTAACAAGGACATTTTACATTTAATGTAACTGACAAGGGTTTGTTAATTGAGTAATATATTCTAATTAAGAATTGCAGGATACTTTCACTAATTTCATGCAGTGTTAGAATAATTTTATAAGAATAATTTTTATAAGTTAAAAAAATAAAATTACTTTTGACCATAAAATTCAAAGTGGCCCTAAACAAACATTACAGACTTTGTTGTTCTTACAAAGGGACGACATAGCAGATCTGGAAGAGGCTAAGAAGTTGCTAAGGGAAGCTGTTGTTCTTCCAATGTGGATGCCTGATTTTTTTAAAGGGATCAGAAGGCCGTGGAAGGTGAGAACTTGTTAAAAATTGTTTTGGTAGAAGACTGTTGTCTGCATGCGAATTAAAGGCAGCATTGCTGTAGATTTTTTGTGTTCTACATAGTTTGCAAAGGTCAAGGAATGTTTATGTATACCCAAAATGCCTGGATTTGGATTTGTAGTTGAAGCGTGCTACAATTATGTGGCAGAAAAAAATGGTTTCTGAGCGTGTAAAGCCCCTTCTCTCAGGTACTGGGAATAAATGTTGTATGAAATAGCCTGTGTCTTATAATCTTTTAAAAAAACAAATTCAGGGTTTCCTACACATAGTTTCTTTTTTCTTTTCTTTTGTGTGTGTGTGGGTGCTGGTACTTGGGGTTCTTGAAGTTTTTGCTCAAGGCTCACTTGAACTTCAGCTCTACTTCCTGCTTTTTGCTGGTTAATTGATGATAAGAGTCTATAGACTCTTCCTGGACTGGATTTGAATCATATTTTTTTAATACTAGTCTAGCACTTGTCCATATATTTGAATCACAGTAAAACAAAATGTAAAGACAAGCACAGGGTAGCTGAATAATGCCTGCCTAGGACTTCTGGTACTGTGCTGTGAGTCAATCTTGGCATCTGTTGAATTTGTTTGTCTACCAACCACTTGTATTTGCCAGCTTCTTTCATAGGTCATTTACCTGTGTTAGAGCAACAATCTGAGATACTTTTCTTTCAAATGCTTAATTAGAAACACAGAATTCAAAAAATTTTTGCCATTTACTTACCTTAGAAGTTGACAAAATTGAAGGACATGGACATAATATTTCATGTTTACACTGTTGTTTAGTTATAGTAGAGTTTGTAATCTTGTCACCTGCTCTAGGAGACATTGTATTCTGGAAACCATTCCCAACTTGGAACATAAAAAATTAAAAGTAAAGTATATGACAAATAGGTGTGGTTTTTGTTTTTTGTTGCCCACCTTCACTATGGGATCAAGAGTTTGGCCTGACCTCCATCTTTACTTCTAGTGGGCATAGCTTCCCCAGTGGAGAACTTACAAACTCGAAGTTTTATCTCTAAGAGAATGAGAGTCCCAAAGTGGCATAGTGACTTGTAGGACGAGGGACAAAACCTCAGCCCAGGGGCTGGAAAGGTGGCTCAGTGGGAGAGCACTTGCCTTGCATGCTCGAGGCCCTGGGTTCGATTCCTCAGCACCACATAAGAAAAAAAGCCGGAAGTGGCGCTGTGGCTCAAGTGGTAGAGTGCTAGCCTTGAGCTGAAGAACTGAGGGACAGTGCCCAGGCCCAGAGTTCAGGCCCCACGACTGGACCCCAAAAAAAAAAAAAAAAAAAAACCTCAGCCCAGCCAAAGGTGATTGTAATTTGCTGCCAACATTTTGAACCTTTAAAAGTTAAATGTATTATGTTATTATGTTCTCCCTCCCTCCCTCCCTCCCTCCTTCCTCTTCCTCCCTCCCTCCTTAAATGTCTCATTATGTTATTATGTTCTCCCTCCCTCCTTTCTTTCTCTCCTCCCCTCTCCTCTCTCTCTCCTCTTCTCTCCTCTCCTCCCCTCCCCTTCCCTCTTCTTACGTCCCCTCCCCTCCCCTCCTCTCCTCTTTCCTTATGGGCCTGGGTGCTGTCCCTGAGCTCTTCAGCTCAAGGCTAGTGCTTTACCACTTGAGGCATAGCACCATTTCTGGTTTTCTGGTAGTTAATTGGAGATAAGAATCTCATTGATGTTCCTGCCTGGCCTGGCTTTGAACTGTGATCCTCAAATCTCAGCCTCCTGAGTAGCTAGGATTACAGGCGTGAGCCACAGCACCCGGCTCATTAATATTATTTCTTTTTTTTGGGGGGGGTCCGGTCGTGGGGCCTGAACTCTGGGCCTGGGCACTGTCCCTCAGCTCTTCAGCTCAAGGCTAGTGCTCTACCACTTGAGCCACAGTGCCACTTCCGACTTTTTTTCTTTTTGCTTATATGGTGCTGAGGAATTAAACCCAGGGCCTCATGCATGCAAGGCAAGCGCTCTACCACTGAGCCACCTTCCCAGCCCCACATTAATATTACTTCTAGGAAGAGATCTTTAGATGTTTCCTTTACAACCAATTTTTTCATTGTCACACAAGTATGATTTTTTTTTACTTTTATCAATTTATCTCTTCATGCTCTGCTTTTTTAGTACTCATTGGCAAACTAGATTAAAGGATAAAATATAAAAAATAATTTGTAATGAAGTCATATTCCTGGTCTAATATTTTCTTGCATTAGTAGAACAAAATTATAGAATATAGAACTGTTACTCACTTTTTAGTTATGTTGGATAGCCAAGTACAGTGGGCCATGTCTGTAATCCTAATTACTCTGGAGGTTGATATTGGGATAATCACATTTCCAGGCTAGTCTAGGCAAAAAGTTTTTGAGAACCCCACTCCCCATCTCATTAGAAAAAGATGGGTATGGTGGTGCATACTTCTCATCCAAGTTACAATAGGAAACATAAATAGGAAGACTGTAGTTCAGGCTAGCCAAGGCAAAAAGAGACCCTATGTTAAAAATAACCAGAGAAGCTGGGTGCTGGTGGCTCATGCCTATAATGCTAGCTACTCAAGAGGCTGAGATCTGAGGATTGCAGTTTGAAGCCAGCTCAGGCAGGAAGGTCCATGATACTCTGATCTCCAATTAACCACCAGAAAACCGGAAGTGGCCGTGTGGCTCAAGTGGTAGAGTGCTTGCCTTGAGTTGAGCTCAGGGACAGCATCCTGGCCCAGAATTTAAGCCCTGCAACCGACAGAAAATTATCAGAGCAAAAACAGCTGGAGATATGGCATGAGTGGTAGAACACCAAGCCAGCAACTACAAAACCCTGAGTTTTATTCCAGTACTACCAAAAAAATTAGGTTGTAAATTTTTAGGGATTTTTGAGATATTTACTAAAATGGGTCAAACTGCTGGTATAAAAGAGTATATGAGCTGGTACCAGTTACTCATGCCTATAATCCTAGATACTTTAGGAGGATTATAGTTAAAGACAGTCTGAGCAAAAAAAAAAAAATAGCAAACCCCCATCTCAATAGGAAAATATTGGGATTGGTGGTACACATCTGTCAACATAGCTCCTTGGGCAGCTAAGATTGGGAAGATCAACATTCCAGGTTTGCCTGGGCAAAAAGTTTGAGACCTGAGCTTAAAGGCCTGGGTATGATTGTGTATGCCTGTCATGCTAGATGTTGTGGGGAAAAGCAAGACCTTATCTCAGAAATAACCAAAGCAAAAAGACCTGGAGGTGTGGCTCAAGTAGTAGAATACCTGCCTAACAAGTATGAAGCCCTGAGTTCAAACACCAGTATTACAAAAAAAAAGAGGAAATAAGAAAGCACAAAAATGTGTCATGTTTATAAAATTTGCCTTAAAATCTAAATTCCAGGATTTCCGAACTGAAAGGGACCTTTGAGTTCATCTTCGATCCCTATGTTTTGATAGGCTACAAAAGTGAGATTCGAGATAGGTTGTGACAGTGAAAATTGTTCTAGAAAATGTAAAATTTGACATTTAAGTTCCATTTATTTGTGCTTTTTCTCTTGCATGGTATGATGACATTTTTCTCTTTATCCATCACACACATATATATATATATATTTTAGTCTTGATATATGTTAGAAACTTGGTTGACTTGCTTGGAAAATGTATAGGATTTCAAGCCCCTGGACTGTGAGACTTCCTAGATGGAGAGTTAGGCAGCTACTGGTGGCTTTCAGCCAAAGACAGTAGAGCCACATACATAGGTGGTACAGTGTTGTGTGCTCTGGGCTTAGCAAGAGCAGACATGATGTCGTCAGGGAAGACTTCCTGCCTGGGGAAGTGGGATTTGATCTGAGATTTGCAGGATTGTAAAGATTTCACTATGGTGAAGACATTTCAAATGGTGTAGGAGCTTAGGAGGAATGAGACTTGAGCAGTGGAATGTAGGTGATAAACTGTAAATGCATTGGAAATAGATGGATTTGAGTTTTGTAAGGAAAGCACACTGAGTACAGACATGTCTTATTTTATTGCACTTTGATTTATTGCACTTCACAGTTAATGCTTTTAAAAAAATAAATATAAGATTTGTGGGAAACTCTGCATTAAGAGTGTGTTGGCACTATTTTTCCAACAGGTTAGATATTTTTTAAAGCAATAAAGTATTTTTAATTAAGGTATATACAGTTTTTTAAACATAATACTATTACCCATTTAATGAATTATAGTAGAGTGTAAACACATGTTTTATATGTACTGGGAAGCCAGATCTCTTATGTGACTCACTTTATTGAGATATTCATTTTATTCTAGCTGTCTGGGCCTGAACTTATATGCAAGGGATCTGTGTGTTTGTAAAGGACACAGACCCTGCATCCACACTGTCTTGGGCCATTCTGGCTCTTTGCCACAACTAGCTTTGTGGCTTTGAGCAAGTTACTAAATTTCTCTATGCTCCACTTTCCTTATAGAAATGTAAATCATAATAGCCATCTTATCCAAATAGTATAAAGATGAAATGAGTTATGAGTTAATGAGGCATCTGATAATGGCTAGAACTATGAAAATATATGTACCTGAATTACTATTAAATTGAGTGATTTACCATTCAGCCTATCATAGCGCTTTTTAAATTGTACTATAATTTATGTGTGTCTTCTAGATTAAAAGTTTCTTGAGGATTTATGTATGAGTCCTCACTGATGTAACTCTGTGTCATCAGGGCCATACATTCAAGTAAGGGTACATTGACTTAGTATACATTTATTGAGAATTTACTGTGTGTCAAGTGGTAGGCTAAGTGCAGATGAGGATGCATAAATAACCACAAGACTTCCCGCTCATTGTCTTTTGTGGAAACAGGCATGTTTTATAATGGAGGCAAAGTATTGAGTACTGTATTTACTAAGATCAATATGACTAGTGTTATATAGTAACGAACAATGTGCTATGGCAGCAGAGAAGAGTACTATGTAAAGTACTATCAGAAATGGTTTCCCCAATCAGTGGCTCTGAGCTT